CTCCATTGATTTTTGGTACTGAGCTGTGGTCCACAGCAACACTTCGTACAAATAATTCCTAATTTTTTAGTCAAGTACGGCTTCTGTTATTGGTGAAGCTTGCTGGATTATTGTGTTATTTACTTTTATTTTAATCTTTGCATAATGAAAATGCTTGGTATGCTGTTGTTTTTTGCCTTGTAGGGTTTTGATTTTTCCCCTAAACCCTAAATTGAATAATTTTAAAATTGAGCCTGTAATGTAACAATTAATTAACAGAATATGCAAAAAATTTGTTGAAAACATTTGTATGAAATTGCATAAAAGTTACAAAAGTATGTTAATAATGAGGGATATGATTGTTATGTCTGAGGTGTATGCAATCTGTTTGAAGTGCAGATGGAGGAAGATATGTATGTTCCGGTGTTTCACTATGGGGGTAGGTTTGGCAGAGACACGTATGGAGTTCTATCATACGTTGATGGTAGTGTGAAGAGGTGGCCTCCATTGGATATAGACCTGGTTAGCTTGCCTGTGTTGGAGGATCTTTTAAAGGAACTAGGTTACGAAAAGTATGAGAAGCTTTTGTGGCATGACCTGAGTTTTCCTGACTTGGAATTTGGTCTCCATGAACTAAAGGGGGATGTTGGGATCAATGAGATGAGGGGGGCTGTAGTGATGCACATGGGAGATAAGGAGTTTCATATTTATATTGAGCATGTGGTGGACACTCCAATATTGGTGGAGGATTATGTGAACCTGGAGGAATCAAACACAAGTGATAGTTATGAGAGTGCAGAAGATGAGGCCTATAAGCCCCCGCCACCGGGATATGAAGAAGATGATTCTGAATCTGAGGTTGAGATGTTGAAGAACAAGAAGCCAGTAAGGAAGAAGTCTGCAAAGAAGAATTTGTCACCAAGGCAGGAACAGAGCCTTAATGAGGGTGGGCCTTCCAATGACAATAGCCCTCAGTTGTCACCAAAAACAGCTAAGAAGAGAAATTCTAGGAAGTACACTGGGGCTAGAAGAAGACATGTTTTGAGGAATGGAAACACTGCTAGTAATGGTGGGATTGGGCATAATAACAGTGGGCCTTCTAATGCAAGTACTCCAGCAGCTAAGACTGACAAGGCTACTACAAAGGAGGGTGTTAATGTGCCTACTGTGGACCCTAATGCATATCAACAGGATAGTGATTATGAAAGACCATACCAATACGAGAGTGAGGCCTTTAATAGCCCAGTGTCTTCTGAAGATGAAGGTAGGACAGCTTATGACTCTTTTAATAAAGAAACTGAGTATGGGGAGGTTGAGTTCAAAGTGGGCCAGATGTTTGAATCAAAGGCAGTGTTCATGAAAGCCCTGAGTGACTATTTTGTATTTGAGGGCTATGCGTGGAACATCACGCCTATGCGTGGCCAAGCATGATTCTGGCGCTGGAGTTCTGGGCGTGATTCTGGGTGCTGCTGAGTTGCCTGACCACGCATATGCATAGGCTTCCACGCATATGCGTGGAACTTCACGCAGGTTTTTAGTGTTGTCTTTCCAGGGTGTTTCGGCGCTCATATCAAGTGTCAACTATGGATTATTATATATCGACGCGAAGCCCCGGATGTTAGCTTTCAAATGAAAGTGGAGTTGCATCGTTTGAAGCTCTGTAGCTCGAGTTATTGCCATTTTAGTCCAGAGAGGTCATGCTGGAAAACTCACCAAAGCATTCATGGGCTAAGGGCTGTTGATCCACGCATATGCGTGGAAGTCAAGGATAGGGGCCACGCCTAGGCTTGATTCTGGGCGCCTAGGGCTATTGATCCACGCATATGCGTGGACTCCGCTGCTGCAACTTTCCCAGGGTTGTTCTAGGCTCAAATCAATTGTCAACCATATACATTTATATACCAAATCGAAGCCCCGGACGTAACCTTTCCAACACAATTTGAATCAGATCTTTTGGACTTCTGTAGCTCAAGATATTTCCAAATTAGTGGGCAAAGGTCATGCTGGAAAAGCTGATCAGCATCATGGGCATGACTTCATACTCAGTTTCTTCCTCCGAAAGCTTCCTTTCTGGCCCATTTTTCCGAAAGCTTCCTAACAAGGGCTAGGGAGTAGAAATTTGGCTAACTTGGTGTGTCCTAGCCCGTGTTACAATTAAAACAAAAAGGATCAGGGCCTAACACGGGCTTCCCAAGCTCGTGTTAGGAAGGAGCCAAAAAAAATGCACTAACACGGGCTAGGATGGGCCAATTTATTCGAAAATATCATATTGGGCCTGCCTAGCCCGTGTTAAGATACAAGAGTCTATATTTGTAATTTTCTCAACCCGTGTCTAATTTGGTAAATATTATATTTATTATAAAAAAAAATCCCCTAAGTTGATCTATTTTATCAACTCTCCTAAACTCATTGGTATGTAATTGAAATTCTATAAGAGCAAAAACATTACTTTTGTTGGCAGCAAGTCAGCAACTCTTCTTGAGCTCTTCTCACTACCTTTTCTATATTTTCAATAACTTTATGCAGTTATACGCTGAAATTATGAGGCAATACACTTGGTGTTGAATGATTTTCAAAATAAAAAAAAAATA